CCATGTCATCAGTTTGGAATAGGACTATTGTCTTTTCCATGTCATCAGTTTGGAATAGGACTATTGTCTTTTCCATGTCATCAGTTTGGAGTGGGACTATTGTCTTTTCCATGTTATCAGTTTGGAATAGGACTATTGTCTTTTCCATGTTATCAGTTTGGAATAGGACTATTGTCTTTTCCATGTTATCAGTTTGGAATAGGACAATTGTCTTTTCCATGTCATCAGTTTGGAATAGGACTATTGTCTTTTCCATGTCATCAGTTTGGAGTGGGACTATTGTCTTTTCCATGTTATCAGTTTGGAATAGGACTATTGTCTTTTCCATGTCATCAGTTTGGAATAGGACTATTGTCTTTTCCATGCCATCAGTTTGGAATAGGACTATTGTCTTTTCCATGTCATCAGTTTGGAATTGGACTATTGTCTTTTCCATGTTTTGACCTTAGAATAGTACTATGGTGTATGATCATTAAAAATATTTTTTGATGGACAGGAATTGAAATCTATAAACAAAAGCCTGTTTCACATTTAGCTTGTTTATGGGCAGTAAATTTGTTTGTTTGTTGCATAAACAAGATTAAAATTTTGTTCACTTTCACAGTCTAATCGTCATTATTTAGATCGACCTAAAGAGCCCTGATTTCTTTGTCTCCAACATGGCGTACCTCAACTTGTTGTTTCTTCTCGTCATTTTTCTGTATTTACATGTACATGGCAATCTATATGGAGTTTGCATCATCGGCATGGTGTCTTAAATCATCCTCTAGTTCCTCCAACTTATTTGAATCATGGATGACAGGCAGAGTGGTCACAAACCAATGGTTCAATTTAATTTGAGATATGGTTGTTTTTCAACTGTTGAATGGAAACTTGGTGACAGTGAGACAACTATTGTTTCAAATTCCGAAGAAGTTGCAGTTTTATTTGCATATATGCTATTGTTTTTATGCTGTCTTTGCAATTACTACTGAGAATTCCTTCCTTTTGCAGTCTAAATGACTTCTCACACAGCCATTATTGTTATGATTGTGAACAGATTCTGAGACTGTGCTACAAAAGTCATGAACCTAATTGCATATTTAGTCAAGGATATAGTGGCCATTTTGTAATCTTACCTGGCTCTTGTTCATACTGCCAGGCTAACTTAGGGAATAAAATTAGGCCCAGCCCTGCTACTCTAAGGTCAGCCTCATTTTCTAGTATGAAACCACCTACAGTCATTAAGTAATTGTCATGACACCTTGTCTCTTTGCTACCTTGTTCCAAATTGACAAGTGCTAAATATTTATCCTAAGTGAATTCATGACCTTGACATTCATCTTTAAAAATATTCAAAATGTGTACACAAAACACAGTTATTAGTCCCCCCGTTCAGACGAAGTCCGAAAACGGGGACTTATAATTCGGTCTCCGTCCGTGCGTCCGTCCGGAGTCATATCTCAGAATCCCTTGGACCGATTCCGTTCATTCTTTGCATGTGCCTAGTACTTTATGTGGGACATATGCACATGCAGTGGTTTAGCGATTCGATTCAAAATGGCCGACTGGCAGCCATCTTGTTTTTTGAAAATGTTGTATTTTGAACATGCTTTGTCAGTTGTCATTCAAACTTGGTACATAGATTATACATGTTAGGATACATGTCCATGACGATTTATTTTGCAATTGGATCAAAGATGGTCGACTGGCAGGCATCTTGTTTTTGTTTTTTTATGCGGTATCTTGGAGGTGCTCTGTCAGTTTTCATTCAAATTTGGCACATACATGTACTTTATACAGGTTAGGATGCATGTCCATGACAATTTGTTTCAAAATCTGGTCAAGGATGGCCGATTGACAGCCATCTGACTTTTTAGCCTTACTACTATATTTCCACAATTTATGTACCATTTTCATTCGTATTTGGCACATACATCATACATATCAGTGTGTTTCATAATCAGATCAAAGATGGCTGAATAACGGCTGTTTTTATTTTGGCCATATTACTATGACACGAAACATGTGTTCTGATGTAAATAAACAATCTTTTGTATACGCCACTTGGAACTCAAGTTTCAAGGACACGCTCGCGACAACCCCTCCGCTTTAATATGACGAGCACAAAGAGAACTTAACGGAGACTGTGTCATTTTCAATGACTTGTTGTTAATGTGACTTGAATGTTGTTTCTCTCAATTTCACAAGCCTTAGTCACTGGTTCTGTATAACAGTTCATATTTTTTTTTGACAAAAAATTAACAAAAACAAAAGAATGATCATGCCATCTAAGTTATTGTCTTTTAATCTGAAAGCATGGCATATATACTTTGATAAAGACAGAAAAACAAATGAGTTATGAGAATTTAGTGAAATAAATCTTATATGTTTAACAGAAGTTATATTATGTTTCACAAAGACACCATACGAGTCAAAGTATTTCCCTGAGCTGGTAGTTGGATTTTAATGGTTTTGCAGCATACATGTAGTTGTATAATGAGTATTTTAAATGGTTGTTTTCTGATTAGTTCATTTACAAATGATTTTACGACAGAAAGCTTACAATATATTGTAACTGATTTCAGGAGGAAGAAATGCGCATGCAAAGAACTTTAAAACAAGTGGAAGAAGGAGAATTATTAGTAGAAAAGTAAGTATCATCTTGCAACGTAATTCCACTGCTCAATGCTTTCATACCTTGTGATGTCATGTGATATGTGTTATATGTCATGTGATACATGTTTCAAATCTCATTTCAGTCATAAATTAGAAGTAGAGTTTGATGATAATACAAGCATTAGAAGAAACCGCTCTCGTTTCTATATTTCAAAAATTATTACGTAAGTATGCATTCTCTATATAAAACCTTCTCTTGCCATGCATGATGTTTGTCGACATGTAGGTTTATAAGAGAACAGCTGGTCGATACGTAATGTACATGTAAAGTCTGATTTGGTTGATTGATTTCTTTTAGTTTGGCCACTCTTATTTTCGGCTCCTAAAATAGAAGAATTTTTATTCATGAATATTACAATTTGATTTCTTGATTGTAGTGCATTACAGTGGATTATTTGTGTAAAAATGAAATAATTGACTATGGAACAAAACAAGTTGAATGTTGCACATAGCTATTTTGTTATAATTTCCACAATTATATCATATTTGCCATTACATCACTTCAAAAAAAATACATGACATACATTGTAGCAGTGCAAGTTAGTTTAGTGACCTGAGTATGGTGTAATGGTTAGCCTGTTTACTTGGCATAAGCAGACTTTTCACTCAGCAGTAAAAGCTAAGAGTACATTCAGTGCGAATGATTTGAGACTATGCTGTCCAATCAGACCGACAATAAAATCTGCTGGTCTCATGTGTATCTACTGTTCTTGTCTCCAGTGCATGTTTAAAAACCCAACCCAAAAAGTACAACATTTCCATAGGATGGTTGGTGCCTTTCTTGCATGTCATAGAACTGGGATAAATAATAAATATAAAATAAATCCCCTCAAAAAAACTGTTTATGCATCTGACTGTGTATTGTTATTTTTTTTTAGAATTCAAAGAGCTTGGCGTGCATATTTAAAAAGTCGTAGCCTTAAAGACAATAATGAGCTGTCATGTGACAGTGATAGTACTGTAGATAGTGACTCTAGTGATGAAATGAACTCACAATCAGAGATGATACATACCACTGAACAAGGTAATCAACTCATTTTTCAAAGACACCCATCTTACACAAATATTGTTGTAAAACTTTTTGAAAATAACTGAATGAATAGAGGGATTCAGTTATTTAAAAATTAGCTTTTAAAGGACATTTTGTCTGAAATGGCAACTAGCATCATGGGACATTTCATATTCTGTGTGTAAAACAGTAAACTTAACTTAGGTCATTTGTCTAAAATGATTGAACAAATTTTAATGACAATCATTATTTTTTCATAGCCATGTAACAAAGAGGTGGTTTTTACACTATTATGAACAAAAAAATCACAATATTTTGGATTATTTAAGGTACAAGCCTACTCATCATTTCAATAAACTGTACATCCTGGCATTATAAGAAGATTGACTTAAAAAAAAAGTTGGGGGTCACTAGCTTAATTTTTGAGAAAATTAGGGTTGTATTTTAGTGGATATTGGCCATTTTGACAGTAATATAAGCTTTTACCATAGGTTCCTATGGTAGAGATATTATGCCATATCTCAAATTGTAGCCTTTGTGACATAGGCTTTTTGTTGTCCTAAATTTTTTCCAAAATCTGGGTTTCAAAAAATGTAAAAAATACTTTTGAAAATATTAGGATAAGTTTCTTGAAATACGTCACTGTAACATGATGCCATGGGACACTAGCTTCATGATTTTACATAATACCAATGAACACTTTCATATGATTTGTGACTAACTTTCTCAAAAAAACAACTAAGCTTACCAAGCATGTTCCTAGCAAATCTAGTGACATTGTTTCATAAGCTATATACTTATGCTGAAATCTCACGAAAATAGTTACCTTCATAAATCATGAATTCTGTGATTTGTTGCTGGTTATATTACATGAGTAACCTACTCATTGCATCACTGTAAAACAATGGTAATTTCATCTGCATTTAGTAACCAGCAGTCTAAAACTAGAGTAAAAAGTTGTTGTCTGCTGAGTAGTTGCCATGGAAATTAAGTACTGGTTGTTACTATATGTCTAATTTAAGTATAATTTTTATCAGAGGATCCAAGTCCTGTTATTGCTGAGAGTGAAGGAGTCATTGCAATGTATGACTTAGAAAGTAGTGTGGAACTAGATGACGGTGAATTTGCAAGGTTACAGCAAGCCATAGAAGACAAGAACAATAAAAATGTCAATAATTTAAGTCTAGCGGAGGAGTTTGCAAACCTGCAAGGAACCAACTCTGAAGATGATGATGAGGAAAGTAGTAGTGTTTCAAAAGACAATGAAAGTGAAGTAGAAACAAATGAAAATATTATTCTTAAAGAGGACATAGAGGACTCAGAAAAAGAATGTGTGAATGAAAGGACAGCATGCAAACAAGCTAGGACTGAAAACAAACTAAAAATTGAATGTAAACAAAAAGATGAAGAAATAAGCCCCCCTGTCGGGATATTTGATGTGTATAACTTAGAAGATACAACAATGCCCGTTTTAGATTGGGCGTCATTAGAAGAACATCTTGCTAATATGTCTAAAGATGAAAATACAGCAAGAGAGGTGAGTTGTTTTAACATGCATAGTATCAGTGTTCCCATCTAAGCTGATTTGATACATTATAAGAACACAGGGATTTATAGTGGACGCAATTATTTATTCTAATTCTTTGACACAGAAAATATATTTTGATTCAAAATTCAGAAGTTACACTATACCTACATACAGTATTTTTTAGCTCCGCTGTCGACTTTGTCGAGCGGAGCTTATCATATGAGTGATTGTCCGTCGTCGTCGTCGTCCGTCGTCGTCCGTGTCAATGTTTTACTTTTTCGACTTCTTCTTGAAAACTACAAGCCTAAATGCTTTGATAC